TGAGTAGTCAGAGCTGGTATCTGGCCAAAGACCAGTTCCTGTGACTTAGAGACACTGCTACTATCTCCCTCTGGGCCCTTGGGCCTCAGTTTCCACATCTGTCCAATGGGATGAAACCATTTTCAGGGAATAACCAATAGTAAAGTACAGCTATAGGGGATTGTGTGCATGTGAGCTGGGTTGTTATTTGGGCAGTGGGTAGTTGGGGGAAGGCTGCACAGTACAAGCTTTAGGACTCTAAGAATGCAGAGTTTGATGAAATATATTGATGTACACGTATATGTTCCCAGGTACAGACACGCATGCACACTCACAGATACAGATGCACACTCACACACGGGCAGATACAGCCCCCACGCTTGTTTTCACATGTACCTATGTATACATATTCCACATATGCAAGCTCTTTCATGCACCCCACACCTTCACACACAGCCCCCCAAGCCCCCTAACACACCCTCAATCTACTTTCTGCCCCCAGTGCACACTCCTCCATACACAGCTAGCCACATGCACCCTCACACCTACATTACGTTCTTCCAATGAGAGAGTCTCTCTGGAGCTTCTAGCCCTTTCCTCCCCTTCCCAGCCCAATGCTGGTTGCAAGCACAGTGCATGCTCTATCCACAGCCCTGCTGAGCCCCAAGATGCCCAGAAACTGCTCAGCACTTTTATCCTCCTGACGCCTTGGTGATGTCCCCCTTTCGTTCCCTGTCCTTGGCGTCTGATGACTCCCACCATGAACTTGGAGCTCCTCGAGGACAGAAATCCATTCTATCTTACTCACTCACAAGTGCATTATCACAAGAGTCTGGCACAGAGCTGGTGTTCTGGAAATGTTTGCTGAATAAATGAATGAGTGAATGAGTGTGTATAACCAGAGAAGGAGATGGTCTGCTCAGTCCAGGGCCCTGGGCTTTGGGGGCAAGACGTGAGGAGAGGATGGGGGACCTGCCCCCCAGTAAGTCCAATGCCTTTCCCCTCTCCAGCTCCTGGCCAACCCCAGGCCCCTCCTGAGCCAGCTCTGCCCAGTCCACACCCATGCCATCTTTGCCTCCCGCGAAAGACCCAAAGTACTGACAATATTCAGGACCTGTCACTGGCAGCTGTTTCTGGCTCACTTTCCAGGGCCTCAGAGGTTTGCAGGAAAGGACCTGGATCCTCAAGAAATCAGACAGAGGCCCTGTCCACCAACACTGCCATCTGTACCATCCCAGGACTTACCATGTTCCGGGAGCTGGGCTATGCGATTCTCACATAAATCCTACCAGTCCTTCTAGAAAGGGGGCCAAGTGCCATCTTCACCCTTGAGTCAAGCAAACAGAGGCTCCAGGAGTGAAGCAATTGGCTGAGGGCAACAGCAGGCAAGTGGCAGTGCTAGGATTTGAATCCAGCCTCCACATTCTTCAATATTGTGGTTTCAATACTGTGGCGCCCCCTTCTGGGCTCCCGCGGCCCTCCATGCTTCTCCACTGGCGCAACGCAGCCGCATATTGTCCACATCTGTCCACTCCTACCTTCCCTCACTGGACCAGGAACTGCTCAGAGGCAGTTGGGAACCGGTTTCTGTGCCTTGCTGGGTCCCCGTTGCCAGGCCAGTGCATCCATTCCCCGACTGCTTATATTTTTTTCTGCAGAGTTGCCTTATGCAGGGATGCTGGCTTGCCAGGGAAATTATGAACTCCCCTCATACCCATTGGGGACTGCCTGACCCAGTGGCTGGCTGATACGGGGTTACCAAGGTCCGCCCCCTCGCCTCCAGATGGGGTCCATTCTGGTTCAGCTCCGTCTCCAGAGCTGCCTGCAGGATCAGGCTGCCCACGTCCAGCTGAGGGCCCAGCCTTGCTAAGCCCCTTCAGCTGTCTTCTGCTTTCCTCACTCCTTTTTTCTCGAAAGCACTCCCTCCAGACCCCACATGCCCAGAATGTCACGTCTCAGGCTGTGCTTCTAGAGGACCTGATCCAAGACAGGCAGCACAGCCTGTTAATTGTTGTGGCCAAGAGGACAGTAGGAGCTTCATGGGCTCCTAATAGTGAACGAACAAGCCATTTCTCCTGCCTCCATGCAAAGCCTCTGCCCCAGTGACACTGGACCCCTCAGGCTGGGCAGAGAACCAATTCTTGGCCAAGGGAAGGAGCTTAGTTTTCCTTAGTCACTGCTCTATCCCCAGTGCCTAGCCCAATGCCCGGCACATAGTAGGAGCTTAGCAAATATTTAATAAATGAACGAATGCATGACTGCCTTGTTTTCCCCAGCTGTCTGTCTTTTTCAGTTCCTATCCAGGTTCCCTCCAAACCTTTAAAGCCGCTTCTGCCATCACCTGCCAGGTATCCTCACCTGTCGTGTTCACCCTGACTGACTTTGACTTCATACCAAAGTGCTGTGTCAGCTGCCTGCACAACTCGGGGCTTCCCCAAGGGGCTCAGCAGCCCCCTGCCCCTGCCCTGCTACAGAGCAGGGGATCAGAGGGAGCCTGGTACCTTCTTTTCACACACAAAATCTCTGCGTTGATCTCGTTCCACGATGTTTTGTTTGGACCAGAGTGCTCTCTTGGCAACGACGACTAAGAAGCCCTCTTCTGTCTTGCATTTTCTATCTTCCCCACCCACCCCTTTGACATGGGCTCATCCGCCCTCACACTGCCCTGTCCAAACTTTGTGTGTTGATGTCCTGTTAATGTCCTATAGCTAAGGGAACTCTTGAGGGCTTTAGTCTAGGGATTGAAAGCAAGGGCTTTATAGTCAGAAAAGCCTTGGGCAAGTTATTTAGCCCTTCCCAGCCTTAGTTTCAGAAGCTGTAAAATGGGCAAGTAACAGAGCTAAAATTCAATAAGATGAATCAGGAGATGTACCAAGCACAGTGCCTGACTCCAGGAAGACAATAAATGGTTCCTTCTAGCATTTATGAATTACTCGAGCAAGTGCTTGGGGCATACTTGGTAATTAGTCATCAAAATTATCACACTTCCCTTTGGCAAAGGAAGCCACACCAAGGATATGTGTCGAGCACATCTTGTCCTAGTGGGGATATCTCCCCAAGACCCATGGCGCTATGTCACGGTCATGATCACTGGGCTCTAGTGAAAGCCACTAATTCCTGGTGGTCACTGGGGACATTCTGAGCAGCAGCTGCATGGCTAAATAGGGCCTCATCCCTTGCTGCAAAGGAACCAGAGAAGGGACCCCAATGTCCTCTGCTTAAGCATCTGGCTTTCTTCCAGATCTAGGCTCACGGTGTATAGACAGCCAGGAAAGTTGTAAGAGACGATGGTTTCTTATTTCCCAGGTTTGCTGGTGTATTTGTGGAGCACAGACCTTGTGCATAGCAGATGCTCAGTAAATATTGTGGCATGAATGAAGAAGAAAAGGAATGAATGAATGGAGATCTACCATGAAATTTCAGTGCCTAGTATAGGTGTCTCAATAAATGCTTCTGAATGAATGAATGAAGTCTAGGTTCACCATATTCCCAGCCCTGAGCCCAAGTCCAGTCATGGAGGAACCCCACGATGAATATTTATGGAGAAAATAAACAAGATCTGGTATTTCCCAGACAGCAGCTGAGCTTCAGCTGCGATTTCCCTCCATCTCCCCATGTGCCCCAGTCTCACAGACATAGTTCCAGGGGGACTGAGCCCTCAAGTCCAGCCACCAGCCCAGCTTGGCCTCAGAGTGAGAATGGGGTCTGGGAAAGAGAGCAAGTTAAGCTCCCCAAGGCACACAATTGGGAGACCGCCTAGCTAGCTTTTCAGTTTGCTCATGGGTGCTGCCTTTGGGAAACACTCAACCTCCCCACCCTCCAGCCCTCAGATGGAATGTGCTGGAAGGAGCAGACTGCCATGCCCCAGGATGTACCAAGGAGCACTCATCTGCACAGCGTTGGGGTCAATGCAACCACACACACGCGCACAGATGGGGGCACAAGGCTGTGTGCCATGGGCACAGGGCCCTCTGCCTTCCTCCCCAGTCTGCGTGGTGGAGCCACTGTCCAGAATGGCCTCTGATGATCCACACAAGTGACCCTGCTTATCTCCAAAATGGACCCCAGCTGGGACCAGCATGTGGACACACACCTTGCCTTGCTCCATCTCTGCAGCCCGTCCATCCCCTCTCAAACACACCTTGCCCCTGCCCCAAGCAGGTGGTGGCCACAGACCAATGGTGGCACCACCAAGAGACAACGCCGTCTGTCACAAGGGACCGCTTTCACAGGTCATAGAACCTATTAGCCAGGAGCTGAGACTCAGAGTTCACAGTGCAGGCCAAGACGAGTCACGTGTCACCTCATCGCACAGAGGGGCCAGCCCTGCCCTCTCTCGGGCCCTCCAGTCTGTGCCGCGGGCAGGCAGCTGTTCCCTCCTTTGCCTCTGCTGGGATTGACTCCTCACTGAGAACCAGGAGGTGGCTCAGACCGTGCAGAGCTGCCCGGCCTGCAGGCTGGACCAGAGTCCCCAGAGGTATCTGCGGATCCTGGGCCAGGGGCCTTTCCCGCTGTGCTCCAGGACATGGGGCACTCTGAATCCAGAGGCCTCCTCCTGAGCTCTGGCTTTGGGGGCAGCAGCCTCCCCATGCCCGCTTCCTGCAAGGGTCTCATGCAGGCCAGCCAGACGGGCCGCCACACAGCACAAGCTGGGGGGTTGGAGGAAGGAGGCCTTAGATGCCCAGACAGGCTGGTACAGAGAACTAGCTGCCCTGGGGGTAATGAGGAGAGAGTCGGGACCCTAAAGCCTCAGTCTGTGCAGACCGCTCCTTTGTTCACTCCTCAGTCCCCTCAGCCTCGGTATGGGGTGGCCCCTGAAGCAGCACCACACAGGGAGGACACTGGACTGGCATTTGGTCCTCTTGGGCACCCTCCAGGTAAGGCCGAGGCTCAGGGTCCAGGATGCTGCGAGGCCCCACAGTGTCCCAGGAGAGCTATCACACCGTGCACCCCTCCCCGGGAGGCCCCAGCCCGCTGGCCAGGTCCCCTGCCTGGGAGCAGAGCCCCTGCCTGGTACTCACCGGCTCCCGGAGGCCTCACCCTGGCGTGGTGCAGCCGCCCCCTCTCAGGCAGTGCTCCCCATCTGGAGAGGCCAGCGGCACTAATCAGCAGCCTGGCGTGGTGCGGCCGAGTGGCTGGGGTTTAATTGACACCAGGTGGCCCCTCCCCAGGGGCAGGCTGGGAGGCGGCTCTGCGGGGCTGGGAGGCCAGGTCCCGGGCAGGGGGGCCGCACCCAGGCCTGGCCGGTTCAGGCCTCCCCGGGAGGGATGAGGGCAGTCAGGCAGCCACCAGCCACCCCTCCCCTTCTGTCCTGCTGGCCACCTCCATTGCACACTCCGGTCCTGCTTCCCAAGGCTCTGACCTTTCTATCATTTCAGAGAGAGCAGTGGCAGTGACAGCGTCTTCCCAGGAGGAGGCTCAGGTTTCCCCCCACCCCCGGCTGGCTGGGGGCAGTGTGCACACGGGGTCTGTGGTGGCCAGGCTGGGCCCATGGGATTCTGATGAGGACCACTTACTGTGGTCACCAAGAATCCTCTGAACCATCTTTTATTGAACACTTACTACATGCCAGCCCTGCATGGTGCCCATACTGTCCCCCATTAAACCTCTTCTACCCCAAGGGGGGCATATTTATCAACCCAACTTTGCAGGTGCAGAAATTGAGGCTCAGAGAAGAAAAGCTTCTTCCCTAAGGTCACACAGCAAGGGAGATACCAAGTTAGTGGTTTTAACCACAATCTGCAAAGGAGGTCATCATTTTTTAGATAAGGAAGTTGAGGCTCAGAGACAGGGGAATAATTCTCAAGATCACAGAGCAAAGTGTGGAATTTGGATTTGCCACCAAATGTTTTGGACCAGGCTGCCTGGGAAAGCAGTCCACTGTTGAAACATAAGCCTGCTACTCTCCTAACCCACATGTGTTCCTGCTTTTATTAGGGCTCCAAGTTTGAGCCATAGCTGGGGTTTTAGGGGAAAGTGCACTGGATGTGGAGTCAGAAGATCTGGGTTGAATTTGCTGTGTGACCTTAAGCAAATTAGTCCACCTCTCTGGGCTTTGGTGTACCTGATATGAACACCAAATGGGTTGCCATGTCGAAAGGGGTTTGTGACTGGGACTCACTGGGCAGGACTGGGGAATGCTGAAGAAGTCCCTATGTTGCCCAGTAGCCCTTCCCAAGGATTGTCCCCCATGCCTGCTGCTCCCCTCACTGCCAGAGGCAGCAAAACTGGATAGCTAAGGGCACACACAGGATTTGCAATTATACACCTGGGTTCAAATCCTGCCTCTGTGCCTCACCAACCACATGACCTTCAGAGGCCACTTCGCTTCTCCAAGTCTCAATTTTTCACCTCCAAAACATGCTAAGAGCACTCCCTGCCTGGGCTGCATGAGGGTAAATGAGAAAATGTCCAGTGTTACCTCTTTACTCAATAGCATCTATTGAGCACCTACTATATGTGGGTCACTGTACTGGGGACATAATGGTGAACAAAATAGTCAGTCTGTGCCCTGGTGGTGGAGACAGACAGTAAGTAAAAGAATATACAAATAAATAGGTAATTCCTTGTAGAATGCCTTTAACAAATAGGAGTAATTATTGTTTACACAATAGATCAGTATTACACAAAAGATCATTGAGCATCTGCTCTGTGCTAGGTACTATTATAGGCACTGGGCATACAGCAGTGAACAGTGTGGACAGGTTCTTGTGCTCAGGAAGCTGGCATTTCTAATAATTAGCCATGCCACTATGTGTTAATAATGATTGTAATGCCATTCCCAGGCAGGACAGTTTCCCCCAACCTTACCCCCAGCACAGTGGGCCTTGGTTTCCTCACTGAAGGATCACATGCCTGAGTGCTGGCTCTGTCCCTCGGGGAGCTCCAAGGTGGAGTGCGGGATTCTAGAGAGTTCTTAGGTCTAATCCTCAGTGAGGCTCCTGGGCTCCTTTTGGTCTGACTTACAGGCCCCTTGGCAGGCAGCTCATCCCCCTGGCCCAGACCCAGACCCACGTGGGCCGGGAGAAGCTGAGCCCGTGACTCAGCCAGCCCGGCCTGTCAGACTGAGAAGGCAGCAGGCAGCTGGCTGGGCTGTCGGCCATGGGGCCCTCCTGAGCCAGACAGGGGGCAGGTACCCTGGGTTCAGACTTGGGTTTCAGGATGGCAAGGGAAGGACTCTGAGCTCAGGTGCCTGCACCCTGGCCCCTGGTGGTGGGTGTCACTAGTAAAGAGAACATTCTAGTTAGAAACAGTGAGAAATCATGGAGTGAGCTGCTTGTGAGGGAATGAGCTCCCTGTCAGTCAAAGTTTTCAGCAGGATGCTGTGAGGGGGACTCCAGAAATTGGGAGAGACTTCTGGGAAAGCTAGTTGGTTTCTACTCCTCTTTCAGGCCTAATTGTGGACATCCCCTTCTCCTGGAAGCTTTTTCTGAGACCCCCTCCCATCCGAGTCAGGTGTTCCCCTGAGCTCCCGTGGCCCCAGGTTTACCCCTGCCAAACTGTTACCTCCTGGCACCTGAATTAGCTGTTCGCTTGTCCAATTAAGCAGCAAGGCTGAGTTCCACCTTCTCTGTCTCTCTGCACCATTATGCACCCAGTGCCTTTGCATCAAGCACCTTGGCCCCTTGTCTGGGCTCTCACAGCCGGTGGCCATCAGCCAGGAGCCAAACTCTCTTCTGGGTCCATCTGCCTTGCGACCTCCAGCAGACCTCAGGGACTGGCACACAGTAGGTCTCCAGAGCAGGGCCAACCATAAAAATTACACAGTGAGCCACAGACCGAACTGCAAATGTTCTAGAAAACACACTTAAAAGGTAAAAATAAACAGCTGAAATTAATTATAAAGTGATGTACTTTTTAACTGATGTAGTCCAAAATGATCACGTCAACATGTAATCGACATAAAAAATGATCAATGAAATATTTTACATTCTTTCTGCTTTTTTGAACATCTTAGAAATCCAGTGGGTATTTATGCTTAATTTAATTAATATCTTAATTTGGACTTGCCACAATTCAAGGGCTCAAGAGCCACATGTGGCCAGTGTCTCCTGCATTGGGAATGTCTGGAAAGTTTTGTTGACCAAGAGAATGAAGATAGCCAGTAGGCTATACTCAGCCCAGTGGGTAAGTGGCCCCCAGCCACAGATCCTATGGGTTGCCATGCTGTTTCTTTTTCATCACTTATCTTTCTCTGCTGCTTGGCTGAGGGTTTCTCTATGTTCACCTGTCTGTCCTTGAAGTCTAGCCCAGTGCCAGGTGCTTGCAGGAGAGGTGGTTTGAAATCAGAGTCCTGGGCGCCCATGCTGGCTTGGTCACACAACTGCATGCCTCTGAGCTTAGTTTCCTCTTCTGCAAAGCGGGGATAGTGCCGACTTTTAGCTGATGCCGCAGTGTTCGGTAGAGCTCTCTGCCATGGTGGACACGCGGGCAAGAAGGTGTAGCCTCCACTTACGCGTGGCTACTCAAACACTTGAAATGTGGCCTATATGATGGAGGAATGGATTTTCCAATTTTATGCAATGCATTGAATTGAAATTTAAATAGCCTCACATAGCTACTGTATCAGAGAACACAGTATCTGAGCTCAGAGGCTACTGTATCTGAGCGTTAGGGAGAATTGAGTATAAAGCCCCTGGTGCAGAGCAGGTGTCTAGTGTACCTGGTGTCCAGTTTACCTGGCTGGTGGGTCTAGAGGATGGTTTGTGGAGGTCTCTCTTAAATAATCATCAGAGTGCTGATAGCGCGTGCAAGGAAATTGCCCAAGGCCAGGGAAAGAGGCATCTGCAGAGGCTAGGTGGGGCCATTTGAAATGCCAATGTCCCGATACAATTTACTGGGATGGGGATGGGGGCTAGACGTCTCAACTCGCAGAAGAGGCAGGAGGGAGGGTGGGCAACCAGGCTGGTAGGAGAGCTAAAGAGAGATTCGGATGTCTGGGAAAGAAGCTTTTCCCAAACTCAACCCAATGTCATGATGTCTTCTTGCTGTCCCACCCTGAACAGATATGTCACCTCCTTCCCTAGGATGCTGACACTTCTGTAATGCAGAAGTCAGCCAACAATTCCTGTGAAGAGCCAGAGAGTAAATATTTCTGGCTTCACAGGCCATATCCCGGGTGTGACTGTGTTCCAATAAGACGTTATTAATGAACACTCAAATCTGACTTCCATATAATTTTCATATGGGATGGAGTACATTTTCGATTTTTTCCAATTTTAAATATAAGAGTCATTACTTATCTCGTGTGCCGTACAAAACAAGCAGGTCAAAATAGGTGGGGCTTGGGGGCTGCAGTTCACCAACCCTACCGTAATGAGATGGAACATGAAATCCTTTGATCTAGATTTTCGTTTCAAGATAAAGAAGTTAACAATGGAGCCAAACGTCATTTCCACTATGTTGCAAATGAAAACAAAATCAGCCTTATGAAGAGTTAATTTAATATGGAATAAGGCAATTACAAATCTGGGAGTAAGCAATGCTCATCCATCCCCTCACCCCGCTGGTGAGCGTCCAGGGGACATCGCATACGCTTCCTTGTCAAAGTGCTACTAGCAGTGAGTAATTCCTTGTTTCTGGAAGAACTTCAAGTTGTCATTTTAAAGTGGGGTCTGATTTTCCTTCAAAAAAAAAAAAAAACTCATTGGGGCTACAAAATGTCACATTGAACAAAGAGCCAGGGTGGAGTTGGACTAGAACACAGCAGGCCTGCTGCGCACCCTCTGCCCCCAAGTCTTACCCCGCAGTCAGGCTTCTGATAGGGGATCAGAGGTTAATTTTTTTAAAAGACAGAAATAAAATAAATAGAAACCCTCAGACGTTTTGTTTCAGGCATCAAAGCTCCTTTCTTTCTGAATGAAAAGTCAGAGGAAAAGGAGCCTCTTCTCTTAGAGGGGATTTGGTGCCCGAGCTTGGAGCTCCAGTCCCTGTTCTGGAAGCACGTCCCGCAGCGGTTGGGGGTGGGGGAGGGGGATGCTGGGTCCCCACGTGACTCCACAGCCGGTCTTTCTTGTATGAAACCGATCTCTTGGGTTTGTGGGCTTTGGAGCGCTGCCACGAACCCCAAAGACACACAGGTTGCAATAACAAGCTGGTAACGATGGCAAATACCAGCCTTTCCTGAGTGATGAGGTAGGTTCCACACTAAAGGGTTCACACACACAGGTTATCTCCGTGAAGTCTTCACTTCCAGCTAATAAGGTGGATGTGATTGTCACCCCTGTATGACCCCCGAGGAAGCTGAGGGTCGGAGAATTGCATACAGGGACCCCCGAGTCGAGGAGCCCCGTGGAAGCCATTTGTTAAGGCAGAGTTCGATGGCGGGGAGCTGGGTGAGGACGCGGGAGAAGCAGGCGGGCAGGGAGCGATTTCAGCAGCAGGGCTGACCCTGCGGGGACGCTCTAGAGGGTCAGGAACATCGCAGAGGTCGCCCTCCTTTGGGGCGAGGGCTGCGGGTTTAGCAACCCCACACGGCTGAGGGCCGCCCTGGAGGACGCAGAAGCAGAGCCAGCGGCCTGAGGACCATCTCCGGAGGGCCCAGGAGCAGTCGGGGGAGAAGCAAACGCATGTGGAGGAGGAGGGCGGGGGTAACAGCGACTCCTTAGAGCCCGGGGTCCACCCCACAGCTGGGGCTCAAAGCCCCAAACCCAGCTGCAGAGCCTGAGACCTGAACGCTAAGCTGGTATGGACGCATGTTGGTCCACGTGTTTATGGGGCTTGGGGGACATCAGGAAAACAGGAGGATATTTTACTTTTATTCCTCAAATTATGGCTGCCCTAAATTTTTGGAGAAGCCTTGCATTTATAAAACAAGGGTATAATAGTAAGGGTATAATAGTAAGTTGCAGAGATCTTGTATGAGTCTTGCTTTGTTTTTTGATGTGTTTACTTGGCTGAGAAGAAAAAAAGACTGAGACAATATATCCATGTCCCTAAGGTTTTATTTTTTCCTTTTAATAGTCCTGGAAATATGGCGGAGGCTCAGCTTTCCCCTGTGGACACACTTCAGGAGGGAGGGAAACTCACCCCAGGGCCATGTGGGATCCATGTGTCTGACAGTGTCACACTAACTGATTGGTGACCCCTGGATTCCCACCACCTGTCAGGCCCAGCCCCCAAACATTATCTGGCATCAGAGGTCCTCAACAAATGTCCCCCATCCAAGTCCCAATTGCTTCCCAGAATGCCCCAAACTCACACACAGAGGGCTTACTCTGTGCTAAACACTTTAAGTATTTGATGTTATGTCATTGAGTATTCATGACAATTTCATTGAAGAGATACTATCATGATCTCCATTTTACAGATGAGCAAATACAGGCTCCACGAGGCAAAGTGACTTACCCAAGGTCACACAGCTGCCAACTGCTTGTTGGCCAGGACTCAAGCTCACACCTGGGGGTTACCCACCTGCCTACGCTTACAGGATGCTCCCAACTAAGGCAGAACTGTGGTGGGGATGGCAGACCCTTGAGGTTAGTGTCTTTCGCTTGTTTTCTCAAAGTGTGGCCATACAAATGATCTGAGAACCAGGTTCCAATCTCGGCAGGGCCCCTTTGAGCTCTATAACTTTGAGTGCTTCTCATATTTCTGAGCCTCAGCTTCCTTCAAGGGCTGGGATGAAGTTAGGTGATGAATGAATGGGAGTTAGGCTGGTGTGAAATGGGAGATGCGGGTGGGCTCTGGACAGCCTCAACTGGAGCAAAGGTGAGGAAGGGTCTGAGAGGTCTGGTTCCTTCCGCCCCGGCAGCTGGGTGGCCTCCTCCGTGACTTGTTTCCGGCTCTCCGGCACTTCCCCTGCAGCCTGTGCATGGAGGTTAATGAGCTGTTCAGTTCCGATGACTTGCAAGGCCTCCTTCACTCAGCACAACACCTGCTGTGCCTGATTGATAGTGGCCCTGTGGCCATAGAGGACCACAAGCCAGAACCAGGACAACCCATTAGTTCCAGGCCCCAGGGAAGACTCTGTCCCCTTCTCTTCTGCTTGAAATAGGAGAGAGGGGGATGGAAGGTTCTGGTTTTGTCTTACACTTCCTTCACTGTCCCAGAGCTAAATGTCAGACCTGGGCTTGAAATATTTAATGTTTATTGGTTGTTTATGCCAGGAATCGTGTGGAATGTTTCACCTGCTTCTAATCCTAAGTGCAGCTTTCTGAAGCGAGAGCCCTTATTATCCCAGTTTCACTGAGAAACCAGGACTTCGAGAGCTGCCATCACTCAGCCAGGTCACCCAGAGGGTCTAACAGAATAACCCAGGACTGAAGTTCAGATGCTTCAGGAGGCTTTCACTTCTTGCAGCCTTGGTTTCCCCATCTGCAAAGTAGGGCAACTCATACCCACCACCCTGTTTGTGGTGAGTAGAAAACATCATGCTTGTGAAGATGGGTGTTAGATATCAGTTGCTCTTCTCTGAGAGAGAGTCGGGGTAGGCTGGGGCCTGGGGCAACTCTCACTAGAGATCGGGCATTTTGGGGTACAGAAACTTGGGGTGGAAAGGGCTCTTTAGTCATTAAGGCTGGCCCCACACCACAGCCATCCTAGTAATAAATATTAATACTAGCAATTAGTATTTGTAGAGCACTTTAGGAGCCAGCAGTGCTCCAAGTCCTTATTTTAGTTCATGTAAGCCTCATTAGGTGCTAGAGGTACAATAATTAGACCTATTGTACAGATGGGGAAATGGAGGCTCAGAGAAGCTAAGCAACCTGCCCAAGGTTGCATGTGGTAGACTAGAATTTAACTCCAACTCCTTCAATGTGCTCTTTCTCTTGGACAGTGTGTCGGGAAGAACTCAGCAGGATGGATGAGGGTCTTGGGGGAGGGGGCACAGCTCAGAGTTCCTGTCAGAGTCGCCTCAGCTCTCAGGTCCTTCTGCTGTTGGGTGAGTTGAACATTCCCTGCCTCACAAGCTGGTTTTCCAGATCAGAAGCGATCTTATTTCATAAAAGCACCCTGTAAACTGAGTTTTAAAATCCAAGCTATGAAGACCCCTTTGTGCTGTGTATGTACCCCAGAGAGCATGAGCTCTGGGTTCTTGCCTTGGGTTGGGTCAGTTGATCCCTCTGCACTTGGCTTTCTCATCTATCACGTGGAATTGGGTGGTTGTGGGAATTCATGAGGCAATGCCAAGTACTTTCTGGGCTGGGCAGAGAGCAGGTGCTCCATATTTAGAGCCAGATTTCTGTGTGTGTGTGTGTGTGCGTGTGCATATGTGTGCATGTATTTATACATTCACAGCATATTCACCCCTAGGGAGAAAACTCATCTGTGGCTAGCTGATGGAATGACACTTGGTCAGACTATGATACTTTGCATTACTGTTCAGCAAAATTTACTTCCCACCCCCTCCTGCTCTGGGCAGAGTTTACAGCCCGATCCTGTTGAAAGGCTGGGTTATGGGACATGCTTTGGCTTCTGGAATGCTAATGGATGTGGTTTGAGCTGATGCCTTGATTGTGTTTGTGTAGGTTGGCTTGGCTGCTCTGTTCTGCTGACCTGCCATGGAAAGAGGAGCATGCCTGGGGAGCTTCTCCTTCAGCCTGGCTCCTGAAGACATGTGAGCAGGCTTGAACTTGACCTGAAGCCTCAAGAGAAGACTTACTTAAGCAGACCTAGACCTACAGACCCAGAAGCATGAGAATAAATCCTAGTTGTCATAAGCTGTGGAGTTTTGAGGAAATTTTGTTACACAACATTATTGTGGCAATAGTTGACCAGTACGTTGGCCATTGTCACATCTCAAGATTCCTTCGGCAGAGCAGACAGCAATTGAATTCAGACCTGTTTTGGCGGCAGTGTGATGCAGTAATTCTCAAATTCTTTATTGGCATAAATAATTCAGACATTGGATTCTCACTAAACATTGCACTAAACACAAGAAATAACAGGCTTGCCGGCTCAGAGGCTCACAACCTGCCCAACAGCCCAAGTTAGAAATACTTTTTTGAGAAGTGTAGAAAACTTTATAAATGATTCTGTACAAATATACACAGTGGACCCTCCATCCAGCTGGCCTTCCTTTCTTGGATGGCATCTGGATTGAATGTTCTTTCCCAGCAATGAGACATTGGCAATAAGTAAGAGAGAGACAGAGAGAGAGACAGAGAGACAAAGAGAGAGAGAGAAGGAAAGAAGTGGCCCCAAAAGGAAAACCTGAACCAGCTTCTTACACTAACTCATTCTGCAGCAGTCAGCACAAACGTGGAGAACACAATATGGGCCATTGGTCCATGGTGGTCTGTACAAGAACTAGTCTTTATATATATATATATATATATATAATATATATATATGTATAATATTTATAGGTATATATACTTTGTGTATAGAAAAGGTTAACGGCATAATTTACATAGAGAGAAAGCCTTTTTACAATTGAGAATTTCCCAAGGTCAATAACTTCGAGAGTAATCAACCGAATGACTCATGCGGTGTGTGGAGGGACCCCAGTGCAAGATCAAAGCTCAGGGAGACAGAAACAAGAGGGCTGGGATGGGACTTGACTGCCCAGGTTTGGGATGTCCTCAGCCTGGCCCAGCCCTGGGCAAGGGCAGTCACCCAGTGGGACCAGACACCTCTGGCTTCTGTGAGTGCCCTTGGCCCCTGTCTTGAGACTTTGAAGGGGGCTCTCCAGCTCCCGAGGTTGAGCCTCCGCCTATGGGTGCTGACCCCCACAGCAGCTGGGGGCTGTCCTTATGAGACTTGGGCGTCCCTCTCCATGTCCACCAGGGCACCAGCTTCTAAGAAAATGGGTAACCCCCACCACCTCTCTCTATTCCAGTCATGAACAACCTCCTACAGATGGCATTCCTGGGAGGGCAGTTCATCTTGGTTCCTGGGAAGAGAAATCGTATGGTTGAGTGCGCCAGGTATTGTGTGACACTACTGACACTCATTATTTCATTTTAATTCATTACTTTATTTACTCCGTCCAATAACCTTGAGGGCTAGGGATGTACTAAGTGTAGTGACGGCATGAAGCTAGGAAAATCCAAGGAATCTTTGGGGGAACTGCTGGTGCTCAGAAGTTGATGCTGAGATCATTATTCACAATACGGAGTGGCTTAAGAAAACGCATGTTGAGTCATGTTGAAGTGGGTAGACAAGCCCTGATAATTTACAGCAACTACACACATATCCTAAGATTCCTATGGTCAGCAAAGAGACTATGTTTCCTAGCCTTCAAGCTATGATATACATTTATAGGGACAGTGGGACATACCATCTCACCATGAGGGGGGTACATTCTTTCTCACACTTTAGACTATATCGCAGATGTGACCGATGGCCCACTATGATCCCTACGTCTTCTTCAGCCATTCTGTAGCAAACCAGTATTATGCTCATCACATCTGTAGTGTTTAGCTGGAGAAAGAGTAGGGTCTTCCCAAATAAATATCCATGCTCACGCATGTCCTTGACCTCAACACTCCAGTGTTCTATGTACAGGTTGATACAAACTCCCCAGGAAAGAGAGCTGAGGGAGGCTTTCTGATGTGGCAAGACATATCTGTGGGACTCAGATTACAGACACCAGAGGTAGCAGGATAGTGAAGTAGAAGCAAAGACAGGGAAGAAAATGCTAAGAAAGAAGGGCTAATGGCCAATCCATCTGTAGCAGAGATGCACATGGGCTGAAGAGCCTGATGCAGGAACAGACACATTGGGTGAAAGCAGGCATGACAGAAAGGGAAGCCCACAGGTACAGAGAGAGATGCAGGGAGAATCTGAGGCTGCCTACGTACTGGCCTGACTCCAGCAAGCACAAAACCCTCCTGGGATACTGTCCCCAGGACATCAAGGCCAATAAGCAGGACCAATAGCCACAATCAGGGAAGAAGTGGAGATCTCCATGTCTGAGCCACCGTCTGTTCAGGAATGGAGTCTCCCAGAACTTGGTACCAGGCTTGGGGAAAGCAGATGAGAACAGAGCAAGTGCCCAGGGTCAGGCTTTCAATAAATCATGATCTTGCCACTGAGTCTGCACATGGGCTGTTCCTTCTATGGGGCACACTGTTCCTCATTTTCCACTCCCATTCTACTCAAATCTCAAGACAAGGTTCAGAAGCCCCCTCCTCTGAGAAGCCTTCCTTAAGGGCCCTTGTCGGGGTTGGGGTCTATCAGGACTCCTATCAGAACTTGTCTGTCTCTCTCCCTGGACTCAGATTCCCTGAAGGCAGAGACCACTTCCTTCCCCATTTTTCTAGAAGCACAGGAGGCACTTGCTAAATATTTGCCAGATGTGTACATGTAGTGAAGTCTTGGGGAATGAAGGCGTAAGGGTTGCTTGATGCCGGGCTCAGCTTAAGGTGTAGCAAGTAGGGCTGGGGACACAAGCTTTTGAAACAGAGGAATTCTTTAAGAATCCTGCAGCTGCTCAAACAGGAGGTGTTTTAAATCCACCAGTGGGCCAGGAGTAGGAGCTATGGTGGTACCAGAGGACCAAGGAGTGGAAGCAAGGCCTTGTGGAATGTGGGCTCAACACAGAGAGCCCATGGGGAGCAAAGGCTCCCCGTCACTGCCTGACAGCTTGGAAGTGGGTGTCAGAGAAGCTCCGATGACGCTCTGCCTGAAATCCCACTTGGGCTTCCGGTGTTTGTGCTCCCAGACTCGGGGCTTTCTGAGGACTTGTTCCTGACAGTGAGGTAAGGGTGTGTGTATGGGTGGGGACAGGAAAAACAGTGGACAGTGTTCCCTGGGGTGGGAGAAAAGACCGCTGGAAAGGAGGAGAAAGGAGCTGAAACTTCCTGAGTCCCACAGCTGTGTTCAGGCCTGGCCACAGGCAGCCCAGCCAGCCACGACTGCCCCTGGCTGCCCAGGATTAGCAGGGCCCTGCACAGTATTCTGCAGGAGAGCAAGAGGCCAGGGTGGGCCGCCTCAGTGTGGCAGAAGTACTTTAGGGTAGCCTGGTGTCTACACTGTAGCTACGTAGCAGTTACTTGAACTTACACGAGTTCATATGTATCCATTTTATTTTTACTATTATTAGCAACAAGGATAGAAAAATTAACAGGAAAATAGCTACCACCGTGGAGGACCAATGCATTGCATTAATTGTCCAGGACACACTTAAGCTGCCACTGGCCCAGCCCAGGCAGGGCTGGGAGGAGAGGCCGGCCCACCAAGGAACAGGACCCCTTCTTGGAAGGCGCTTGGTCACGAGTCTGCAATTCCCAAAATGACTTTCCCAGCTCCGGTCCTTCGCCATGCCTGACTTTCCTGCTCCCCAAATCTGGGACCCCTGGGACCCCTAGGATCTTATTCTAGGGGTGCAGCAGCAGGACCTACAGAACCTGTCCACACCCACTGCTTGCCTCCATCCCCATCAGCCGCGTGGGACGGGATCAAACTGCCATGTTGTCCACACTATCATTTCACTGCTTCATCTCCACCAGAAAGAGCCCTTCTCGCCCTTCCCCACAGTTAACTCGGTATTAGAAGGAGGGTGGGAGAGGCCATCGGGAGTCTGGGGCCTCTCCTGGCTGGGGAAGACAGAGTAGCCCCCGGTGGCAGCACTGGGTTTGCCTGATGCAAGTCTTAAGATTGCAGCTCAGTAAGAGCATTTGCTTCCTAGAAGGATCAGGGGAGAATAGAGTGGGCTCCTGTGGAAGGAATGGGGGAGCATTTGGCAAGGGGAGCCCAGCACGAGGGGAGCCAGGCCTGTGGGTCACTCCCTGCACCAGGAGCTTGGATTTCAGCCCTTGTTTTGTCCATTCTCCTCACCTAGGCAGGCTTCAAACCACTGAAATTTCCAAATACTATTTTTAAACCCCATTTCCATGCCAGAGTTACTTAAGGAATCCCCACCTTGAGCTTTACCATTTCCCACTGTCCGATTTCCTTTTTCTCTCCTGAAAGGCTGCAGATAGCAGGAGGCTAGATCTGGGTCCCGGTGACCTGGCTGGGACACAGGTACTCAGGACTTCGGGCCTTGGGGCAAACCAGTGAAAATCAGAGGGTGACACTGTGCAGCTTAGCACTTCCCAGTGCTTCCCCACTGCCCTTAGAGGACCTTTGTGACCCTCCCCAGCCTGGGCATGCCTACTCCCACGGCCCCCTGCCCCGCTCATCCGCTGCCCTCCCTGCTTGTCCAGCTGGCCCCCGTGCTGTCTGTCCCTCAGTCACACCAGTCCTCCCCTTGTGGTCTCTGCGTTTGCTGCCTCCTGGGCCTAGAATGGGGATTCTCAGCTTACGGTGGCTCTACCCGCAGGGGGCATTTGTCACTGTCTGGAGACATCTTTGGTTGTGACAAGCTGGGACTGGTGGGCAAGGGAGAGGGCTATGGGCATCTAGGGGGTGGAGGCCAGGATGGCTGCTCAGCATCCTCCCACAGGAAATGATCTGGCCCCAAATATGAACAGTGCCAACACTGGGAGACTCTGGCCTAGAATGATGGCCCTGCCCTCTTTCTCTTCCTTTAGATTCCAGCTTAAATATTACCTCCTCAGAAAGGCTTTTGCCAAATGCTCCCTCCATGGTGGTCCTGCATGTCATGTCATTAACCCTAGTTGGTTTTCTTTCCATAGGCCTACATGAATTGTAATTTATACATTGTTGTCTATCCCCCACACTGGGCTCTGAGCTTCAGAATGGGGCAAACTGTCTCACTCATCACTGAATGTGCAGGGTCTAAGATGTAGTAGATGCTCAG